CTTTTTTTTTTTTATTTGATTTATATACCGCCCTTCTCCGGAGACTCAGGGCGGCTTACAATGCATTAAGCAATAGCCTTCATACTTTTGTATATTTTATACAAAGTCAGCTTATTGCCCCCACAAACTGGGTCCTCATTTCACCTACCTTAGAAAGGATGGAAGGCTGAGTCAACCTTGAGCCTTGGATAGATTCGAACCAGCAGAAATTGCAGGCAGCTGTGTTAATAACAGGGTGCGTATACCACTGTACTATCAAGGCTCTTAAACTCTTAAACTTAAACTCTTACAGGACACAAAGGAGAGTGGGAGTAGCACTCCCAGAATGGGAACTGTATTATCAAGCTGCGGGTATAAGTTGGCTAAAAGAATGGATAGAATTAAGGGACAAAAGAATATTAGCAATAGAAGGGCATGATTTACAAGTGGGATGGCACGCATTCCTTTGGGATGGAAAATATAAAACACATGATTATTTCAAAAGACATATTTTAAGAAATGGTTGCTACAAATTTGGTTGAAAATTAAAAAATTAAAAAACACTAAAGAAGAAATTTTTAAATCTTTTAATTGGTAATGAGTTTTAATTGGGCCAAATTTATATATCTTTTAATTGTTTTTAATATTTGTACTGCATGTTTTTTTAATTTTGGCTGTACACCACCCTGAGTCCTCAGGGAGAAGGGCGGTATAGAAATTTAAAATAAATAAATAAATAAATAAAAATAAATAAAGTAAGAGAACTTGGGGACTCTGTTCCCTATGTGGCTGCTATTTCTGGGTAAATGCTGGTCATTTTAGAGAGATATTGGACTTAAAGAGCCCTGTTGCAATAACCAGGTTTTATTAATCCGGGTTCTGACGGCGAGCTAATGTCGTCTTGCTATGCCCAGGAGTAGGGCGTTCTCTGTGGGTGCTCCCACCCTCTGGAATGAATTACCTACCGAGCTCCGGACGGCTCCTGATCTCCGCTCCTTCCGTCGGGTCCTGAAGACTTGGCTGTTCAAACAAATAGGCTGACTCTGATTCCGGGTTTTATTATTTACTATTAATTAGTTATTTGGTTTAAAATGGGATTTTATTGTACTTGTTTCTTAACTGCGTTTGCCGCTCTGAGTCCTTCGGGAGAATGGCGGCATATAAATGCATGTAATAAAATAAATAATAATAAATAAATAACCAACAGAACTGCTATGAAAATCACAAGTATTCCCATAATGAAGAACTGTTAAGGGAGACACTACTGTTTCATTTAATTTAGAAAACAATATTCTGTGAAAGGACTGGAAAAAACCCTAAAGGTCACAACCTAACATTTTAGGTAATAAAGTCAGAACTATGGGAGTGATTGAGAATTAATCATTTGAATATCATCAGCTGAACTGGAAAAAGTGCCCCAATTAATTCCTGCACTAGAGGAAAGAAAAAGAGATGTTGGAAAAGAAATTGAGGCCACTTCCTCAAATACAGGACCCTCTTCTATCCCTCAGGAGCGTGGGTGGTTGAAAGAGGGTTGAATTCTCCTTTCTCTCAGAATTATCTCCAAGAGGAAACAAGCATTTCAAGAAACAAAAAGATTCCAAGAAGAAATTAGTTCTCCAAACACTGGCAGTCAGCAAGGTAATTCTGCACTTGATCCTTACCGGCTCAAGATTGACAGCCTTCAATCTGCCAAGTCTTCGGCCAGGGCCACCGCCTGGGAACAGCTCTCAGCTCCGCACTCCCTCACCCAGCTCGCCATCTCCGCGGGCAGCAGGGCCAGCAGCTGCTCCAGCACCACCAGGTCCAGCATCTCCTCTTTGCTGCTCCTTTCCGGCCGCAGCCACTGACGGCACAGCCGGCGTAGGCGGCTGCAAAGCTCCCGGGGCCCCTCGGCCTCCATCGCGTCTCCTGCTCGTGAGCAGCCAAAAGAAGCCCAAGGCAGTCGGAAATGTTCTCCCGGGCCCTCTCCGCACTCCCTTCTCCGCTTTCCAGGAGGGGAAAAATGGGTGTCGAGCCTTCTGCGCCTGAGGAGAGCAACGGACAACCGTTCCCGCCAATTTCATGCGCGCTCCTGGCCTCACGTGCCTCACCAAGGATTCCGAACGATAGATACGTGATTCCTAGAGGGAACCTAGAAGAAAGAAAACGAAAGCGGACTTTCCTCTTACGGCCTACAGGGATCTCTGGGCCGCTGCTCTTCTCCCCGGGGGGGGGGGGTGATGCGGGCAAAGGGAAGGCCAAGACCGATGATCTCGGCGTCCTCCCCCCCTTAATCAGGCGCTCCCTAGGTCTTGCGCCGTGGAGGAAAGTCGGGGAACCTCAGCTGAAAGATGGGGCTCTTCTTCGTCTCTAGGTCCAGCGCAGGACGAACGGATAGAGGGGCCAAAAGTGGGCTTGAAATCGGGGAGGAGGAGGCAAGTTGGATCTGGGGCTGCGAACGAGGGGGAGCCTTCCCCTCTGCCTCGCCCCTGAAGTTCGCAGTATGGCTGGAGCAGGCAGCTTCCTTTCCCATACTCCTTTCCTGGACACGGGACTTTCTGTTTCTCCCGGTGGTTCGTTTGCCGGGTTGCTAGAGCAAAAGTGGGCCTAGAGGTCTGAGGGTTTCAGTTTAATGGAGCTGGCGTCTTTGAGAAGGGCTATTGTTGGGTACAGAAGTCATCTTGGATACAGGCTTGGGAACCTGCATTCCTGGTCTAGGAGTCCTGACTGGAGGACAGCCCTTCGAGGTAGTCCAGAGAAGATGCACAAGAATGAATACTAGTGCTAGCTCCACGATGAGGCCACAATACAAAATTCTGAAACTCTGAAAGTATTTCTCCTCTCCTTTTCCTCTCTGGAAAATTAGGGAGAGTTTCCTCTAATTCTTGCAATGCCCCCTCACCCTCCCAATCTCCTTGTGGGGACTAAGATATCTTTTAATCAGGAGTGAAATCCAGAAGGTTCTGACAAGTACTGGAGAAGCGGTAACAGAAATTTTAAGCAATTCGGAGAACCGGTAGCGGAAACTGGCTGGCCCCAGAGTGGGGTGGGAATGGAGATTTTGCAATATCCTTCCCTTGCTAAGTCCACCAAGCCACGACCACCAAGCCATGACCACAGAACCGGTAGTAAAAAAAAATAAGATTTCACCACTGCTTTTAGTGGTTGTCCAGTCTGCGACTCTCTCCCAATCATTCCCACATACCATTACCCCATCTCAGAAGTCTTTTCTAATTCTTTATTTGTAGAGAAGAGAAACAAAAACATAAGACTTTAAAATAAAATTTGCTATATTGTCAATGAGAATGAATAGTTTGAATAATATCAGCTGAAATGACAACTAAAGGTGCTGTAATCATTAATGTTTTTGTTCTCCATACTCAATACATTTGTAGGTGGATCTCTGTGGATCCTTTGGTGGCCAGTGATGCCTCTCGGGTCCAGCCACATACTCTGTAGGCTACTTCTAGAAGCTTTTCTGTTGTATCAGAGGAGGTGCCATCCACCTTTTGCAGATTGCGCATCATGTCCAGAGCACTTTGGCCAATAAAGAACATATTCACCGAACAGTGATTCTCCGAGGCTTCCGGATTCAAGTCACTGTACTTCCGAAAGGCCTGATAACGGCACTCAAGGAAGTCATTTGGGCTTCTGTGCCAGCTGATAGATATCTTCCCCAAGTTCTTCTGTTTTGGAGCGGCAGTTTGCAAGGCAGTGACACTGAGATCTTGAAATGCCTTTAAGTATTCATAATCTCGGCTGTCATACCTATTGATAGACCACTTAGTACGGTTTCCAGAAAAAGGGGCCTTTCTTTCCTCAGCAAGTTTCCTTGCGGCAGTTACTACTAAACATCTTTCTTCAGACATAAGGAAAACATGTAACATGGCCTGCAGGTCTGCCCAATTGGGGTTGTATGAATAATGGAGAAGACCAGATCAGCCTATTTATGTGGGGCTGCTGTGTAGGAACCAAGCCAGTCCTTCCATGCATAGAGATCTGAAGTGGAAAAGGCAGTATAAATTAAGACCTTCTGGGCATCCCCCCTTCCAATAGCACCATGTTTGGTAAGGGGATATACTCCCTTATAAGATGGGGTGGGGCTGAGGGAGTGGAAGGCTTAAGCCCCAGAGGGTGACATAGCCACTATCCTTTAACATCCTTTTAGTTCCTTGTAAAGTCCAAAAAAAGTGCATAATCAGCTTGCTGATCTTTGTCCATGCCCCTTTGGGCATAGTTCTCCCATGGTGAAAGTATATAAAAGGCACTCACGTCATACTAGCATTTGCAACCTGTTGAGCAGGAGTACAGGATTGCCTCCCCTTGCTATCTAAGCACCCCCAGACATGGGTTAGGTGTCGCTGAAGCAACCATTCCACCTAGCCCTGGTAAACAGTGGGATATAATTTAGGGGAGACACTCTTACATCAAATAGATTAACACACATTAAGAGAGAAATAGAAAAATGATATTCCTTATCTTGTCATCAGCCCTCCAGAGTAGAAAAGGAATTAAAATAGAGGCAAACAATAAAAGCCCTGGTCCTCCAAAATTTAAGACTTGGGGAGAATCAAGAAGGGAAGAACCTCCAGGAAATCCCAGAGTGCGCTTGGTGCGTCTCCCTACCTGGGCTTCCCAAAACAAATCACTTCTCTGGGCTGACTCACCAAAAATGTTTTGCTGGTTTCAGATGTGGTTAGGTATAAAGAAAGTCAGAGTCCAAGTATTTACCTCAATAAGCTTTTATTCAGCTGAATAAAGATGGACCTCCCTTAACAAGGGAGAACCCTGATTAAGTTTGACACTCATATTTCTATGTTTGCTACATTGACCACTTTTCCACCCAGAAGCACTGGCACACTCCAACCAGACAAGCTGGCACACACTATAGAAGATAAAGAAGTACAGAAATAGCCATCCACTACCCTTGGAAGTCCTCCAAAGACACTGGATGTCATCTCAGGGACTTGGGTGTTTCCTGAGGAACCTACCATGACCTTGAACACCTGCAGTGGGCCTGGTCACATTGGCACATATACTCCAAGACTTTCAATAGAAACATTAGATTCGGGGCGTGGCCAGCATCACAGCAGTATGGTGTGGATTCCAGAGCCCCAGGAGAACACCAATATCCCAGCTGATTTTGGGGATCCCCAGGGATCATAGGTGTCCTGTAGGGACATCAAAGAACGGAGGCAGAGGCTGGCACAGATAGGGAAAGGCAAGTTCCCTGAAGTGCCAGCATTAGTCTTTGACCCAGTGGTGAGGGAAGGCAGCCATCGGAGCTGTCAAAAGCCGGGGAGGCTACAAACAAGAAGAGGAAGAAAAGTGAGGTGATCATCTGGGTGAGAGAGTGAAGTCTTGGAAACAAGGTTTCTTTAAATTTTTTTTCCTCCTGAACTTTTAAAAGTATCTAAATTAAAGAGAATTGGCAAAGAGGAGAGTGGAGGGAGTGGAATAAAGCTACCTCCCCACTTCCGGAATAGCAGTGAAGAAGTGGAAGCCATTAATAAGGACAAATTAGTAAAAGTGGAGAAAGTAATTTAACAAATATAACAACTTGGAAGCAGATTGGGAAAAGAGGCTTCTCTGGCTAATGAACTGTATTTTGAAAATTTGAAGTTTTTGCAACTGGGAGTTTAATGTTGAAAGATGAAAAGTAAATTGATCTTTTAAAACTATTTTAAGTGTGTCTGCAGTGCCATCTAGTGGTGATAGAAGAAATTAAAGAGAATAAAGGAGATTAGAATGGAATGACCTTGGACAGTGTTTTGGAAACTGGCAAGAAGATTTTAATGAGAAGTAGTCTTGTGACTTTGTAACAGAAGGGGAAAGACAAAGAAGAAGAAAAAAGAATGAAAGCTGTTTTTCTTTTTTCCCTTCACTTGATGGATTTATAAATTTTGGAAGGTTTTGGAAAAGTGATACTTCGGAATACTATTTCTTCTTTTGTTTTCCCTTTTGTTTCTTTTCTCTCTTTTTTGTTTGTAGAAGCATCTTAAAATTAAGAGATTTAAATTTTTTATCATTGGCATGGTTTTTGTTTTTTCTACTTTTTAACTCTTTTGGGGAGATTATAAATATTTTTGCCACCTTTTTATTGCAGGCTGGATATTTTAGCAAGTACTTGAGCTTTGAATCTTCATTTTTGTTCTGAGTTGGGATTTTTTTATCCTTTTTCTTCTTCTTCTTTTCTTCTTGCCTTTTTGGGGCATTTTGATTGCTTTTTTTTTTTTTTTGGTGTTGTTTTTCCGGATACAGTTTTTTATCTCTTTTTTTCCTTCTTTTCTGTCTTATTTGGAGTATGGATTAAACATATATGGATTAGGGTAGCAAGAACCTGAAGAGTTTGATTGGGCAGTTTGAATTTGAAGAAATCGAATATTTGGATTATAAATTGGGCAGTAAGATTTGAAAAAACAAGATGAAGAAAATAACACATCTATCATCACCATCAATATCTGCAGCATCTGGTACTACAGGACAAAAAACAGAACCCACACCACAGCAAGAGAAAGTTAACACAGAATTTAAAAATATGCTACAGACTATATATGAAGATCTTAAGACAAGATTAGATAAGGTAGATGGGAGAATGGAAAAAATGGAAGGAGAACTGAAAGAAGTTAAAGAGATGATAGGGAAAAATGAACGATTGCAGCAAATGGAAGAAAAAACAGAAGCAACAGAGAAAAAAGTTGAAGAGATGGACTGTAGACTTACAATTACTGATAAAAATCAGGAAAATCCATTATAATTCTGGAAATGGATAAAGCTGACTATTATCTAAGATTTCAAATTATTGAAGAAGAGAAAATTTGGCAGAGAAAATTGCAGAGATATTAGCAGAAGCAATGGAAGAAAGTAAGGAAGGGATATTAAATAGGATCAATGAAATATATAGAGTGCACACAAGATATGCGATGAGAAACAAACTGCCTAGAGAAATTCATGTTAGATTTACAAAGAAAACACAGAGAACAGAGATACTGCAACTGATGAGAAATACAACAATAAAGCACAAAGAAAGAGAAGTAGTGGCACTGAAACAAATTCCAAGAAGAGTTAAGAGATCTGAGAAAAGAATATCAATTTCTCACAAAATGTTTGATAAAGAGAGGAATAAATTTTAGATGGTTAATTCCAGAAGGAATACTGATGAACTGGCAAGAACAAAGATACAGATTAGACTCAATAGAGAAAGTGGAGTTATTTTATAAATAACATATAGAAGTCCAAGAGGAGGAAAGATTGAGAGATGAAAGTGGGGATGGATGACAGGACGAGAAGAAAGAACAGCCAAAAGAGACAAGAGAACAAGAGAGAGCGTTGAATGAAGGAGCAAGGGCGAAAGAAGTTAAAGAACAAAGGGAGATAAGAATGACTAGATCAACAAAGCAAATAAATAAATAAGAAATGGAAGAAGTTAAAATAATATCTTTGAATATAAATGGACTGAATTCGGCAATAAAAAGAAGAAAAATATTTAATAAATTAGAGAAGTTAAAATTAGAAATTATATGTCTACAAGAAGTTCATATCAGAAAACAACAAAAAGCTTTTGGAGTGAACAAAACTAGGGACATTGTATACAACATTGGCTTGTCAAAGTAAAAGGAGTAGTATTTTACATTAAATGGACAATCCAATCCAAACAAATATTTGAGGATGAGGAAGAGTATTAATGGTAGAAATTGTAATGAACTATAAAAAATATTACTTGTGGATATATACACTCCAAATGAAAATCAAGAAGAGTTTTATGCAAAATTACATAGGAAAATACTAGAATATGAATATGAATAAATTTGCATAATTGGAGATTTTAATGCGATTGTTGATAATGAGCTAGACTATAAATCTACAAAAGTGAATAAAAAATCAAGAAAGACACTTCCGAAAACATTCCACACAATGATAGATGAACTAAGCATACAGGATGCTTGGAGAAAAAGAAATTTAAAGGAAAAATAATATACATTTTATTCAAATAGGCATATGTCATGGTCAAGAATAGATATGATGTGGATGTCAACAGATTTAATATCTAAGATAGATAAGATTGATATAGAAGCAAATATATGGGCAGATCACAATGCAATAATGATGATATGGAAAGGTCAAAGAAAAAGAATGAGGTAGACATTAAATCAAAGTTTATTAAATGAGAAAGACTTTATACAATATATGGGAAAAGAATGGACTTTTTTGATTAAAGAAAATAGAAAAGAAGATAAATCATTGCAAAATGTATGGGATACTAGCAAAGCACATATAAGGGGTTTGGCAATGACATGCAGAAAAAAGGAATAAACAGAATAAACAAGCTCAAAAAAAATTTGAGGAGGAATATAAGAAGTTGAAGGAAGAATTGCAAAAAAATTCACAAGACAGAAAGATCAAAAATCTAATGGATTTGAAAAAACATAAATTGAATTTAATAAAAAATGAAGACCTGGCAAGAAAAATAAAATCATCAAAGCAAAACTTTTTTGAAAATGCAAATAAACCAGGAAGATGGCTAGCATATAAAATGAAGAAGGAAAAAGAAGGGAAATTGATAAGCCAATTATTAGATCAAGAGGGAAAGATACACTATCAAAATGAGGAAAAGAAAAAAATTAATGAGGAATATTATAAGAAACTATATCAACAAGAACAGACACCAGAAAGAAAAAATAGAACAATATTTGGAAAAAGCAAAGATCCCCAAAATATCAGAACAATTTAAAAAAGCATTAGAAGAAAGAATATCAATGATGGAATTGATGGAGGGAATTAAAAAGCAGAAGAATGGAAAAACCCCAGGACCAGATGGGTTACCAGCAGAATTATATAAAAAGTTGCAGGATGTACTAAGTAATACACTGCTACAAGTATTTAATGATTTACTAATAGAAGCCAAGGTTCCGAACTCATGGATGGAGGCGTATATAACTCTTATACTAAAAGAAAAAACAGATTTACAACCAATAAAGAATTATAGACCAAGTTCACTATTAAATGTAGACTAAAATATCTGCATCAATTATGGCGGAAAGATTGAAGAGGTTGTTAAATGAATTTATACATCTAGATCAAAATGGTTTTCTGCCTAAAAGACAAATTAGAGACAATATAAGAATTATATTGGATACATTGGAATATTATGAGGCACATCCAGAGAAACAAACGGCACTGTTATTTTTAGATATGCAGAAAGCATTTGATAATGTGAATTGGCAATTCATGACTATACAACTGCAAAAGATGGACTTTGGTGATAGATTTATTAACATGATTAAGATTATATATAAAGACCAATCGGCAAAAGTAATAATAAATGGTGAAACGACAGAGAAAATAGATATAAGAAAAAGAACTAGACAAGGGTATCCGCCATTATTTATTTTGACCCTAGAAATTTTAAAAGAAAAATAAGACAAGACAAAGAAATAAAAGGGATGAGAATTAAAAAAGAAGAATATAAGCTAATAGAGGAATATGGAGAAGTAGCTGGATTGAAAATAATGATCACAAAAATGATAGTTAAAAATATGAGGGAAAAACAAAAGAACCAATTAACAGAGAAACTAGATATCCAAATAGTGAAGAAAGTGAAATATTTGGGCATCCAACTGACTTCAAAATGTATCACAGTGAAGGAAGATAATTATTATAAACTGAGAAATCAGATTGAAACAGAAATTTACAATTATCCTTAATGGGAAGAATAGCATTAATTAAAATGAATGCATTGCCAAGACTGTTGTTTCTCTTTCAAACAATTCCGATAAAGCTGGAGAAGAAATATTTTGAGAGTTTGAATAAAATGATGTGGAAATATATATGGCAAGGGGAAAAAAGCAAGAATCTATCTTAAATTGCTACAAGATTCTAGAATTAGAGGAGGATTTGGTCTACCAAATTGGGAATTGTATCACCAAGCGGCGATGCTAACTTGGATTAAAGAATGGATTTTATTGAGAAATACAAGGCTATTGACTTTGGAAGGATATTGTTAAATGGCGATTGAAGGAAAACTCGACACAATGTAACTGTAACTC